GTGCTTTGCCCCTAAAAGTTGTCGGATCTTACTCCAAAATTTTGCTGGTTCACGTTTATACTGATTAGCTTGAAGAACTAGAAATTTCCATAAGTCCCGTTTGTGATGACTAATCATGTTAATTAATTCTTGCCTTAATCAGTGCAGTGTAGCTACTGGTGGTTGTCGCATTTGAAGATGCCTTCGACATTCTGCTTGATAATTTCTTAAACTGTCTCTAATTTCCCTAGTAGGTTTATATTGTTGGTATATCTTTGTGGAAGCTAATTGACAAGTTGCATTCATTCATTCATTAGAGATTTGCCGGTAATTCCGGCCCGGGTCTTCTCCAGATGGTGACCCGACAAGTTGCATTAGTAGCTTCAATTATTCGATTATGCAGGGACCTGATTGCATCATCAATTGCAGTGGAAGGTAGATTTTCCAATGACAATTTCATCCTCACCCAGAAATGCCCTGAAGGGGTCAAATCCTAGGGTGTTAAGATTGGGTTTAGGAGGTACAGGGATTCTAAATGGAGAAGTTTGTAGTTGTATTATAACAGGGATATGGTCAGATCCTACGTTTCCACCAGGAGATATACGACAGTGAAAGATGTCACAGTCTCTTGTTTGTCAGTACTATATCTGGTGTCCCTGGATGAGGTCCAATGTACGATTTAAAGAATGGGCCTTGAAATGACAAGTTTTTAGCTGTCATGATATTAAATAGTTGTTTTCCTTTTAAGTCACCCAGTGGAATACCAGCTCCACCGTTGAAGAGGGCAGGGTGATGAGCATTAAAATCTGCTAGAATTGTTGGAATATTTCTGCTTAATATCCTATGTAGAGGAATTGACTCTATATATTGTTGTCTCGGGGGAAAATATCCAGTTCCTATCACTAGTTGTCCGTGAGACGTTGTCATTTCTATTGCAAGAATGTTATCTTCATCAACATGAATATTTTTAAATGTATAGCCTAATTTAACTAAGATGGCTACACCACTAAAGGGTCCTCTCGATTTCTCCACAGTAGAGTAACCACATAATTTAATATGTTGATCAACTCTGCAGCTGTCTCGTTCAAGAGTATAACATCGGGATTGTAATTATGTAGTTCAACCTCAAGGAGGTAATGGTTATTAAAGAAATGTTGAACATTAAGTTGGAAAATTGTAATCCCCATTATTTCTTGCACTTCGCTCGTGTACTGCGGTCTGAACGCCTGCAAGTAATGTCATGTTTGGTATCCACACTATCCCTGCTGGACTCGTCAAGGGGAGGAGGGAACTTCTGCGTAGTTGCTTGTATTAAAAATGCCATCTTCTTCACTAGAGGTGGTAATATTAACAGACTCATTAGAATCGTTAGTCATCATCAGAAAACTGAGGTATGATATTCCCAGTTACAGGAAGCAGAGGCTCGTGAGAGTTAATGGGAGACTGTGGAGGCTCCAAGGGAAAATTAGGTAGGCAAGGTGAGTTACCCTGGGAAAGTTCCTGTTCAACAGGATCAGCTTCAATAGCGGGAGAGTAGGCACCAATTTCTGGGGCATTGTTATGTTCAGGTGTTGACTTATCGGGTTGAGGGGAGTTGACAACCTGGGTATGCAAGGTGGGCGATCCCTGGGCCAGGGATGACTTAGGCTTATTTTTAGATGTAGAGTAGGGTACATACTTCTTGTTATGAGAAGGCTGGGTCATAATAGCCTTCACATTTTCTGGGATAGTGATGGGAGTGATCCCATTAGCCATTAACAGATCATTTAAAGCCTGAGAGCAGAGTTGAATGCCACCACCTGCTATGTCTTTGGCCATCATATACATTAGTTGTGCTCTCGTCATATCCCCGGCTGTGGATACCTGAGACATAGGAGATGAGACTGAACCTTGTTGTTGCGTTTGTGTATGTTGTAGGTGGGGCGCTCCAAGAGGGGCAGAATTCCAAACATTGGAACCATTGGTAGAGACCTGAGGAGTCCCACTTGATCCAGGCAGAGCTGGGAAGGAAGTTTGGGACATCGTTGGCGGTGCCTGGGGAGTGGTCTTCTTAGAAGTGGACAGTTTCTTGGCTTCAATAATTTTCTGCATTTCCTTTTTCTTTTCAGGACAAATAGCAGAAACAGCATGATGTTTTCCGTTGCAGAGGACACATTTGGGTGTATTTTTATTATTACAATCTCGATAAGAATGTTGGCCAGAGCAAATGCTACAAATCTGCCCTTGAGTACTGCATTTGTTGGTGTTATGACCAAAGGCATAACATTTAAAACATTGTGTCACACTGACAAATCGGTCAACATAGATTTGGTCAGGTGTACATCTGGTGCCAAAACATTTGAAGCCATTTTGACACTCAGGTGTCTCAAGTATTAACTTTAAGGTTACCTTGTTGTTGTTAGGTTTAGAGAATTTATGTGCTTCGACAGCCCTAAAGTCAGAATTCTCTGTATTAAAGTCCTCAACAATTTCATTCACTGTGCTGTCTCATGAAACTGTTAATTCTTGCAACAAACACAGTCCTCTGAGCTTGATAGCTCTCAGGTACAACTGGGGTAACACCAGAAGTCTTCAGTTTTTCAAGGACATCATGCTTCAGCAGTTGAAGTAACTCTTCTTCCGAAGAGAGGAGAAGTACTGCTCCAGCGTGGGTTTGAAAAACATCCACTGGAGCAACAGTTGAGTTCGAGCAAATACATGCTAGAATTTCTTTCATCGACTTTTGATTTCCATCAGTACGTAATCTTACTCGTATCCTCGCCATGATGTCTAGGAAGGAACATCTGGCAGAGGAGTTTCTTAACAAAAAGGGAACTTCCCTTAATGTTATACTAGCATCCTATTTCAGCTGACTTATGAATGTCAGCCCCTAAGATAGCCTACCCTCGAGTGGTGAGGGGGAAAGGGCCCAAGGCAAAGATCGGCCGGATTTTAAAAAAACACACGGGCTACCGGATGTTCAAAATGCCTTGTGTTAACTCGCCAAAGCGAAGTTGCCGAAAAAGAAGAAGAAATGAAAGTCAGAAGGATAGCAATGTATGTAGTGTGTGGGCCAGTGTTGATGTTTGGGTGAGGGGAGGATGGGGATGAGAGGGGTGAACAAGCAAGAAAGTCACCGCCTTACCCTCTTGATGGGATGGGGCTCGAAGTGACTGCAAGCAAGTTTCCTCTCAGCTCTGGTGAAGAACTACTCAGGATAACCCAAGAAAAATCTCGAGCAACAGTGTTCCGAGTTGCTCAGCTGAAGAGCAGGAACGACGACGTCTTCTCTCTACGGTGGCTGGGCTGCTTCTGTCCTTCCACCACCTCTGTTTTCAAAAGGGAACTTGACAAGTGTCTTCAGGCCGTTCCTGATCACCGTTGACCCATCGGAATCTTCATCAGGTAGGAGGCAGAAATGCAGGCATCTTTTATGTGGCATGTAAAATATGTGCTGTATATTTGGTCCCAGTCACTTCTGTTGAGACCTGAATATTTACATTTTAGCACCTGGCAGTGGAAGTAGGTGGAATATTACCTATTACATAAACAGACATTGCCTGAGGCCAGTCATGCATGAAGGGCACTGAACTTCTGTAAAACGTTAATAATAAAAATAAAAATAATAATCTTTATCTTTACAAGTACATGTACAATGTATACAGGCCTAGATGACATCAGTGATATATTGAGAGTCCCTTGTTATACATAGCAGTTCAGGCAAATTAGGTAAATTTTGTACCCAGGACCAGGTAAACTCCAGGATACGACCCACACCAGTCGACTAACACCCAGGTACCTATTTTACTGATAGGTGAACAGGGACAGCAGGTGCCTTAAGGAAACACGTCCTAATGTTTCCACCCGTACCGGGGATCGAACCATGGACTTCAATTTGTAAGTGAATTATGATCACAGACGCTCAGTTAATAGTCAGACTGCCTGTGGAATTGGAGGTAATCAGGTTTTATCCAAGGCAGGGAAAGGTATCACGGCACACCACAGAAGGAACCAATTACACCGAATAATTATTATCGAAAAACACACTGAAATTTTGGCTCAGCAAAAATATGGGTGGCAGTCATCTTTACATATAATATAGTGGGTGGCAGCTACACTTTAAGACTCACACAGTAGTTTATTAAAATGACCGCATATATGAGAAGCCCTGTGCAATATCTGATGCTTTTATCACATTGAACTATACTACTTATTGTATTAACCAAAATTTTATAAATTCTCATTGTAATACACACATGACTGTAATTCCACATTCAAATAAATTACAAAGAAAGCTTCCATAATAATAATAATAATAATTAATATACTTTGTATTATTATTAGTATAATAATAAAAATTATCCATCGATATGAAAACTAAGAAAACGAATAAATTAAATAAGTATAACAAACTTCATATTTATTGCCAATCTACAGGGATAACATAAATATAATTAATAATACTCCAGGTGAAATATTAATACCAAGAAAGAGCAAATGTTTTAGTTAAATATCCTCTAAATTAATATCAAATAATATCTGTACGATAATCTTGCAATTCTGGAATATACGTACAGATACTCACAGTTCCATCTTATTCAACATTACTAAAGATATATTTGAAGATTTGTAATCATGCCACTAGAAATAAGTACCTCAAGGTACAGCACCAGTGAGGGCAGAAGCCCAGCGTAAGTGCATGTGACGTTAATGGGAGTAATAAAATTTATTTCAAAATTATCAGAAGACAGCTAGGCTCGATCACAGCTGTGGCGTTGCAACTCTTCATGGCAGCTTATACTGCAAAAATAAATATTATTACAGTTAGTTTTCTGGACAATACGGCTGCACATCGTAATTATATTTAATTATTAATTTATGTTTTTTTTTTTAAAGTCTTTATTCCTTTTCGGAATTTAGTTTTTATTTAGAACTCTTACCATGCTTCTCCATTAATGAGGAAAGTGCATACGCAGCTACATACACCAATGATTTTCTCCATCTAAAAGATTAGTTCATGTGTAAACCTGAGGAAAAGCCAGACACATCTTTTAAGAAGCATACGGAACCTATTACAATTATTGCTTTAGATCATTTTTTAATAGATTGATATCCTCATTATGCAGCCCACACCCACCCTTAGGGTGAAAGTCAGGATTACAGAGGTATATAATGGGTTCAGATACTGGGTTCCAACATTTGTTTAAAAAGTTTATTTGTGTCACCTTATAACTGCTCCCCCCTCCCCCTGCAATATTAGGTAAAGCAGTTAATCATACAACTTCTTAGATAGATTAGGTAATTTAAGTACCGTATTATATTACATAAGTTTTTAGCAAGGCTTAATTAGGTTAGTTTTATTGCAAAAAATGCAAACATAAAAACTGCACAGAGCTATATATCACTTCCTGGGGACGGGTGAATCTAGAAGTAATCCATTAATGGCCGCCTGTGTAGGATATTTGCACAATTTCATATATCTTAAGACAATATGTGATGTTTTTCTTAAATATGATGAAAACCCAACTGGGGTAGGCCAACGGATGTTTAAACCAGTGTAATGAGGCAACTGTCCTATTTCCTGACGAACAAAACAGCCATCACTACATTTACAATCCTGTTTAGATATCGTATTTGTTTGAATTGGAACTGTTGCCTTAAGTCTTTAAATTTAATTTTAAATTTTCTTTAGTAATTAGAACTGCATCAGCTTTGTAAAGAAAATATCGAAACCGGAAGACACTTGCAAATAAATTGCCTTAGGACATATCCGTTTAATCTCGTTATAGTGTCTATCATCATCAGTATATACTGGTACATCAAGGGATAAGATCATAATCACTACTGATTATACGCTGGAAATCAAAATAAAATTATGAACGGATTTGTTTATTTTACGCCTATTGATTACACGAGGATCACTGAAACAAAATTGACATGTAGACTAACATCAGTAATGCTTTAATCCGTAATAAAGATTAGGTATACGAATAGCACCCTTCCCCCAACTGGCTTCATTAATAAACCTGACTCTTCTGAGAGAAGTCCCTATCAGATGAGCCGTAGTGCTTACACGAACTGCTTGCAGCAAGCGCAGACTTCATGACCCAGGCTATAGGGAGGCCTGGTCTGGTGCTGTGGTTTCATAATGATGGCCTCCTCAGTCAGGATGTTAGTGCGATTATTCTCAGAACTATGTACATGAAACTTACTATTATACGCTGAGATATATATACCGTTTATACAGAGAACTCGCTCGTGTGGTGGTTTCTAGCACAGCTCTCACTCACCGTTAACACAGACACCATCATGGGCCTGACTAATGGATGGATCCTTGCACGATGCCAGGCGGAGGCGACAGGAGTTGGAATAAGATTTACCATCACTCCCACAAACTGGAACTATCTTAGATGAACAGTAGAAAGTACACTCGGAAGAATCAGACTCTGCAAACCATTGAATGCTAACAAGATGATGTTTGCTGTGTTCATGTATGTACTATGTTACAGCAGCTGAACATCATTTTTCTAAATAAAAAGGAATCATGCAATGACGATACAATAATTCATGTCCGGTGTTGCCTTACCAGTCAATAATACATAATGTAGTGCTTTTCAAATATACAGTAATTGTTTTTTCATATTTCCTCCCATTATTCTGACGTTCACTATAGATGCCCTCCAGTCTCCTGAAGCTGTAGAACTCATTCAAGGTTTCTGGTAAATGTTAATTCACAGAAGTTTAAACATCGATAGTATTTAACTGAATGCAAATTTTAAATATAAAAATCTCCTTTCGTGTTTATGAACGCCTAGAATTTATTACATTTTATAATGATCTTGAGTTACACATGTAATGTACGGCCACAAAACCGCTTGTGCTCATCCATTTATGTTTAAATAAAACATTAAATATATCGCATAAGACGAACAGTAATGATAACATTGGCAAAATTCACTTTTAGTGCTTTGCGTAATTATCATAACACGTCAGTGAAAATAACCTGTAACACTCACCAGCGGAGTCAGTGAATATGAAGTGCTGTTATAAACATTGCATTAAAATTATAGGTATTAATATAAATGCTGCATTACTATTATTGTATTATTATAACATTCCAATTATCATCATTACTGGTCACAGTAGACAGTAACAAGCATGTTTTACGGGCACTATTTTCTATTAATACGAGCTGTATGAAAATTAGATTAAATTTACCTTAGGTATATTAGGCTTGTGATGAATGGTTTGAAAAGATAGCCTGAGCTTGCTACCATCTGCAGCTCATAAGACTGCCATCCCCACGAGCCCTTTTAGGGCGGGGCAGATGGCAGACCAGAGGCCTAGCTTCTCCCTACGAGCCCCGTGAGGGCGGGGAATGTGGCTAGGCCTGGGGACAGTTGGTCCCAAAGATGAGGGGGTACTTGTACCTCCTCCCATGTGAGACTTAAGTCTCTAGACACTCCCCAGATAGGGAGCCAAGGCCGGGTCACCACTACTCGGAAAAGACCCGGGCCGGGAGAGTACCGGCGAATAAAAAAAAAATGGTTTGAAAAACCGACAAGTTGAAGATTGAGACACTTGTGCAACATATGGGAATCTTTATTCAGGAAACGTTTCGCCACACAGTGGCTTCATCAGTCCAATACAAAGTAGAAAGGTGTAAGGAGAGGAGGAGTTTGAGGTAATCAGTCCCTCAGCCTGGAGTCGATGTGTTCACTCCATCAATCTTGTAGAATGTACAGCATAGGTTAGGTTAGGTAAGGTTCGTCAGGAAACAGGACAAATGTTTCCTGACGCGGGTCTTAGTCAGATGATGACCCGCCTTTGGAGCTTTTGGTCATCTGACCGAGGCCTTCCGCTGGCTTACCGGTCCACCCCTTTAAAAATTATGGTCATTTATAACCATTGTTAAAATGTACAGCATAGGGCCGTAGACGTGGCTTATATAATGTAGTCAGGTGAGGCGAAGCAGGAGGAGGCGGGGTCATAGTGGTACCAACCACTAGTCGAAGTAGGTCATCGTCCAAAGGTTGGACAAGTGTTGAAGAAATCTTTGTAACAAGATCCCATGATGCTGCAGTGTCTGACAGTTTAGATGAATGGTTTAAAGATTCCCATATGTTGCACAAGTGTCTCAATCTTCATATTAGGTTTGGTTTGGCTAATTAGCAGGTAAAATTTAGTTAGGATTGGTTGTTAGGTAACTAGGTTAAATTGAGTAATTTAGATTAGGATAAGTTAGGTTTTGTTTGGTTAGATTAGGTAAGGATGGGTAAATTATATAAGGTTAAATTAGGTTAGGTAAAATTGGGTTAGATTAATTTAATATTTACATTCAGCTTCTGTACTAGGTACACTCGTCAGGACCTAACTTGGAAATGATTAGGTTAAGTAAGGTGATGTTGAGCTAGGTTACGCTGAGTGATGTTGGGCTAGGTTACACTGAGTGATGTTGGGCTAGGTTACACTGAGTGATGTTGGGCTAGGTTACACTGAGTGATGTTGGGCTAGGTTACACTGAGTGATGATGGGCTAGGTTACACTGAGTGATGTTGAGCTAGGTTACACTGAGTGATGTTGGGCTAGGTTACACTGAGTGATGTTGGGCTAGGTTACACTGAGTGATGATGGGCTAGGTTACACTGAGTGATGTTGAGCTAGGTTACGCTGAGTGATGTTGGGCTAGGTTACACTGAGTGATGTTGGGCTAGGTTACACTGAGTGATGTTGGGCTAGGTTACATGAGTGATGTTGAGCTAGGTTACACTGAGTGATGTTGGGCTAGGTTACACTGAGTGATGTTGGGCTAGGTTACACTGAGTGATGTTGGGCTAGGTTACACTGAGTGATGTTGGGCTAGGTTACATGAGTGATGTTGGGCTAGGTTACACTGAGTGATGATGGGCTAGGTTACGCTGAGTGATGTTGGGCTAGGTTACGCTGAGTGATGTTGGGCTAGGTTACACTGAGTAATGTTGGGCTAGGTTACACTGAGTGATGTTGGGCTAGGTTACACTGAGTGATGTTGGGCTAGGTTACACTGAGTGATGTTGGGCTAGGCTACACTGAGTGATGTTGGGCTAGGTTACGCTGAGTGATGTTGAGCTAGGTTACGCTGAGTGATGTTGGGCTAGGTTACGCTGAGTGATGTTGGGCTAGGTTACACTGAGTGATGTTGGGCTAGGTTACGCTGAGTGATGTTGGGCTAGGTTACACTGAGTGATGTTGGGCTAGGTTACGCTGAGTGATGTTGGGACACTGAGTGATGTTGGGCTAGGTTACGCTGAGTGATGTTGGGCTAGGTTACACTGAGTGATGTTGGGCTAGGTTACGTTCAGTAATGCTGGGTTAGGTTACGTTAAATGAGTACATTATGTTAAATTCGGGAAGGAAATTTTGTTAAGATGATATAAGTTAAGTTACGCTAAGTTTAGTTAAATTAACTGCTGTATTTAGCTGCTATACTCACCACACTCTCCAGAGCCGATCTTGGTGATGGTGGGGTCCCTACAGGAGGCAGCCTGGAGACCACATTCATTACCGTATGTCTTGCCGTCACTCCCACACACAGGGAAGTAGCTTGCTGGGCATGCCAGGGGACAGTCACCTGAACCAGGGGTAAGATGTGTAATGAATGCGTGTATGAGAGAGAGATGGAGAGGGGGGATCATATTATTTTCATGGTGGGGAGGGAGCGCTAAAGCTGCAGGTGTCAAACAGCACCTGAGGGGGAATAGGAGGCAATCAGATTCGATCCAACGACGGGGTAGTCAGTTCTAATTACTTGGATCCAGAGCCCCTCGCCGGCATCAAGTGCCCTTCCCTTGAGGGGAAAGGAGGGAGAAAATCTAAGGACACTAAAGAAAAAAATAGAAAGGGAAGGGGGTTAAAGATTTACTACAAATAATAGAGGAAAATTCTTAAGCTTTTGTTTATATACCATTATAAACATTCATGCGCGACATACGTGAGATTTACTTCCTTTTCACTCCAGGAAATAAGTATATATTACACAAGGAAGGAGTGTGTTGGTGGAGAGTAGAACTTGATTGCTAATGTTTATGTTGGTGGTGAGTGGAACTTGATTTCTAGAGTATGTTGGTTGTGATTAGTACGTGATTGCTAGTGTATGTTGGTGGTGAGTGGTACGTGATTACTAGTGTATGTTGGTGAGTGGTACTTGACTGCTAGTGGATTGGTGGTGAGTGGTACTCGATTGCATGTTGGTGATTGATTGGGGTTATGTTCATGGTGAACCGTGATTGGAAAAAGTTTAGAGGTTTGCAATGAGACTAGTCCTAGAGACAAGTGTATGAGCTATAGAGACTAAAGAATCTAAAAGTGATGATATTAGAGGGTAGAAGGACCAGGGAGGCCATGATAATGACTTACAAAATGCGAAAAGAAATGATAGTGGAAAGGAACAGGCTTTTCGAGAGGAAGCTTCGAAACATACACGAGGGCCCAGCTGAAAGTTAAAAAAAAATGAGCTACAGGGCTGTGGAACAACCTAGATCCGTTCTTAATTTTAAAAACATTTATGAAAGGGTTCGCCAAATCAGGAAAGAGTAAACCCTGTAGTGGCTAATTAAGAGGAAGGGGTGGGCCTGAGACTGAGACCCAACCCCATAAACCACAAATAGGTAAATACATACTTCCAGCTGGCGCAGGTTTGCGGCCGAAGCCTGGTCCGTGTTGTCCCGGGCCGTGAGGGACAGCTGTCACCGCCATTATCACCCCCATCACCACCACTATCATGCAACACCTTGGGGCCATCTTCACTCCTTGACTCGTCACCTCAACTGAGATAGTGGTGATTCATTACCATAAACACTATGAATGCAGCTGATACCAACCACTAAAAAAATTATTCAATAACATATTTCTAGTTGCAAAATATCGACTAAAAACACATTTACGTACGTAAAATTTTAAATGTAATAGTAGGGTTCGGCTTTAATTTAATAATCCCCTCAAGGGAGGTTCCTTGATGCTGGTGAGGGGCTCTTGATCTAGGGAATTGGATCTGTACTCCAGTTCCCTGAATACCTTCCATCATTATCTCCTCCACAGGCACTGTATAATCCCTATGGGTTTAGCACTCCCCATGATAATTATATATATATACATATATAATATATATATATATTATATATATATATATATATATATATATATATATATATATATATATATATATATATATATATATATATATATATATATATATATATATATATATATATAATATATATATATATATATATATATATATATATATATATATGTCGTGCCGAATAGGCAGAACTTGCCATCTTGGCTTAAATAGCAACGCTCATCTTGCCATATAGGACAAGTAAAAATTTGTGTATGCAATAATTTCGCCAAAATCATTCTGAACCTAACGAAAAAAATATATTTCACTGTGTTTGTTTAGTAGTATTAAATTATTGTAAACAAATCTAAAATATATTTAGTTGGGTTAGGCTAAAATAAATTGCGCTTGTTATAATAAGGTTAGGTAAGTTTTCTAAGTTCCTTTTGGTGCAAAATTATAAATTTTTACATCAACATTAATGAAAAAAATATGTCTTTAAACGTATAAGAGAAAATTTTAGAAAGGAGTTAATTTTAAATGAGTTCTTGCTAATTGACCAGTTTTACATATTCGGCACGACATATATATATACATGTGTGTTGTGTGTGTGTGTGTGTGTGTGTGTGTGTGTGTGCGTATGTATTGTGATTTCTTCCAAACTTACCAGTTAACTCCGGTCTCGTGGGCTGTAGGAGAGAGACTGTGAGCTTATACGAGCATCATTGAAGAAATTATCTTGGGATCCCCATGGTTCTGACGTCACTCAAGGTCCACATGCCCACAGTGATCCTCACTTTATTTATTGTCATTTCAGCCTTCACTTCTCAACTAAAATAAACAATGGTTATAAATGACCATAATTTTTAAACGGGTGGACCGGTAAGCCAGCGGAAGGCCTCGGTCAGATGACCAAAAGCTCCAAAGGCGGGTCATCATCTGACTAAGACCCGCGTCAGGAAACATTTGTCCTGTTTCCTGACGAACCTTACCTAACCTAACCTTCACTTCTCAACCGAGAAGAAATCAACTTTGCGAATATCGAATAAAGCATATTTCTGAAAAATTTTTTGATAATATTCCTGTGATTTGTGTGTAATAATTGATGGGGATAATAGTGTTTATAAAGTACTGTAGGTGTGTAATGTTTGAGTAAGTTTTGAAATGTGATAATTCACAGGGGAACCAATATCTCCCTTTATAATTTCCTTATTTATTAAATTCAGTTAATTAAATAAAAAGAAATTTTTGTAATATTTGAAAAATTAATATTCGTATAAGGAAAATGTATTGCACACCTAGAAATATCACTAAATTTGTACAATACTTGTACAAGTAAAACGTTTTGAGGAGCATCAAATATGGCGGTATGGGAAAGAGACTAACCGGCTAATTAGCGAATATTTTGGGAAATTAACGGTGACCGATAGAAATAGTATTGACAGGTCATAAGATAAATGAAGAGGAAATACATCTGGAAGTTTCCAGCTATATAAAGAACCGGCATAATAAGGTTAAGAATAATAATGGACGCGATAGCTGGACATATTGACTACCTCAATATGTCCAGTATGTCCCAGTGGGTTATAAGAACATAAGAACGAAGGAACACTGCAGAAGGCCTACTGGCCCATGCGAGGCAGGTCCAAGTCTCCTACCGGCTTAAGCCAATGCACCCAACCTAGTCAGGTCAGGTCACATTGACTTAAGGGAGGAACACGGCAACCGACCTGGTAAGATTAAGACACATGTGCAACATCTGGGTATCTTTATTGTAGACGTTTCGCCATCCAGTGGCTTTATCAATACAAATTCTAGGACATAACTTGAAGACAGTAGAACTATGTACAGAAGATGAGGTAATCAGTCCCTCAACCTAGGAGTAGGTGCAAAGAGCACCATAGTCGTGGTGCTCTTTGCACCTACTCCTAGGTGTGCTAAGCTCCTCTTTACATTCCTTTAGAACCCTTGCATACAGTTCATCAGGGCCTGGGGATTTGTTAGGTTTTAATTTATCTATTTGCCTAAGGACCATGTCACTTGTGACCCTAATAGTGCACAGTTTATTATCGTCCTGTTCTACATAATTTATCATTACTGGAATATCGCTGGTATCCTCCTGTGTAAAAACTGAGAGGAAGTATGTGTTAAAAATTCTACACATTTCCTTATCACTGTCAGTGAGCTGACCCGAGGAACTTTTGAGTGGGCCTATCTTGTCCCTGATCTTACTTCTGTATACCTGAAAGAATCCTTTTGGGTTAGTCTTCGATTCTCTTGCAACTTTAACCTCATAATCTCTTTTTGCTTTTCTAATTCCCTTTTTTATTTCTCTCTTTAACTGAATATATCGATTTCTTAATTGCCCCTCTCCTCTTTTGATTTGCCTATATATGCCTCTCTTTTGACCAATCAGATATTTTAATCTATTGTTCATCCATTTAGGATCATTTTTGTTTGATCTGATTTCCCTATTTGGAACATAATTTGACTGAGCAGCTAGAACTATGCCCTGGAAAGCATCATATCGGCAACCATCACCACCTACCTGACCCTTAGTCAGGTCATTCCAGTTCAGCCCACCTAAGTAATTTTTCAGTCCTATGAAATCAGCCAAGCGAAAGTCAGGGACGGAGACTTAATTGCCATTATTAGGGGAATTCCATGATATATTAAAACTGAGTGATTTGTGATCACTTTCCCCAAGCTCATCATTAACCTCAAGATTATTAATTAGTGTTTCCCTACTGGCAAGAACCAAGTCAAGGAGGTTATTTCCCCTAGTTGGCTCTGTCACAAAACTGTTTTAAAAAAACAATCCTGGATCGTATCAAGAAAGTCACCTGACTCTAAATTTCCTGTCAAATTGCTCCAGTCAATCTGTCTATAGTTGAAATCACCCATTAGCACAACATTTTCGTATGTAGATGCCTTACGAATTTCGTCCCATAGAAGTTTACTGCACTCCCTATCAAGATTTGGGGCCCTGTAAATCACACCCAAAATTAGTTTTTCTCGGCCCTCGAGAAGCTGTAACCAAACAGATTCAGTGGCTGACGCTTCTAATTTAATATCTTGTCTAACACAACAATTTAAATTGTCTCTGACATACATCACTACTCCACCACCTTTCCTGTTGACCCTGTCAGTGTGGAATAATTTATAACCTTGTATGTGACATTCAGAGGGCATCTCTCTATCTTTCAGATTGAGCCAGGTCTCTGTTATAGCAATAATATCTATGTTTCCTGCACTTGCAATTAATCTTAGCTCATCTATCTTTTTTCTTACACTCCTGCTATTAGTATAGTAAACCTTAAGGGAGCTAGTCCCTTGCTGCCCTCTGCTGTCCCCCTTTGTTTGCTGACCTGATCTATTGTCTTTATTTATAACTTCATGCTGAATGCCTTTTATACATTTACTGTTTCCAACCCAAGTGTTGCAACCTGCTTGTTTCCCACACACACCCATACCCCTATCTTCCATCAGTTTAAAATCATAGGCATTTCACCAATGGCCTTCTCAATCGAGTCTGCAAGTGCTACCACCCCTGCCCCAGAGAGATGTACCCCATCCCTTGCATACATATCATGTTTGCCATAAAAGTTGTTCCAGTTGTCAATGAATGGGATTGCAAGTTCCTTGCAGTATCCGTCTAGCCAGCAATTTACACCAATTGCCCTAGACAACCATTCATTTCCTACTCCCCTTCTAGGCAAGATGCTACATATGATTGGGATCCCTCCCTTAGACTTAATGAAATCTATAGCTGACCTGTACTTATCTAGCAGCTCTTCTCTCCTACCCTTCCCAATATCATTTCCACCAGCACTGAGACAGATAATGGGCTTGTTCCCATTACCTGACATGATATTATCCAGCCTGTTGACAATGTCCCCAACACCAGCTCCAGGGAAGCACACTCTATCTCTCATCTTCTTATTCCTATTACAAAAAGCACGGTCAATATATCTTACCTGAGAGTCACCAACCACAAGAATGCGCTTACCTCCATTAGCAGGGGCAGTAGTACCCTTACCTTCACTGGCCACTGAAGTACATTCATCCTGAAGAACAGAGAACCGATTTCCTACCTTCAGATCTTCACTCTTAACTTTCCTTACTCTGATGCGCCTCCCATTACTGTGAACCACTCGCCACTTGTAGCAGGTGCTGGACTGCACCTCACTGCTGGTAGCCGTTGCTACCTCCCCAACTACAGCCTCCTCACAGCGAGAGACAGACTGCACCTCACTGCTAGAAGCCTCATTCCCCACAACTCCAGCCACCTCACACTCTCTCCCAGACCCATTGAGGTGGACCTTCAGCCTCCTAATCTCCTGGAGAAGCAAAACCTCCTCCTTCAACTCTACAACCTCAATTTTTAAAACACTGCAGAAGCAAGCCATGCTTTGTAACCGTCCACACTAATCCCCAAAGCAGCTCAGGGTCTGTGACCTCACGTGACGACTGACCACTGACAGGTAAGGTTGCTAGATATTGGCCAGTTTTTCTAGTTGCTTTTCTGTAGAAGGCGTTAGGATATATCACCCATGGAATATGTGGAAAATTTTATAGGGGTGATTACCTTTATGTACCTCAACATTACATGCATACAAGTAAACTCATTGGGAGACAACCATATTGTTTACCGTAGTCACCCCGTGTAGACATGTGAGAAAACTTAACCACCCCTGGTCACGGCAGGTGGTTCCTTCGACCTCACAATCTTATCCATATCTATCCGAGACCAGTATGGATTGGATAGCACCCACAAGTACGGTGCTACTAATTAATTGTGGACTGTATAGATTATATTAGTGTAACTGAATGAAAGGGGAGGGGGGTAGGTTACACATGGATATATCCATCAAGGAAAAACACTTGTACATAATCTCTCCACTTACCAGATATTCTCTGGTGGTCACCTGATGTAGCTGGATCACTCATAACTTCAAATTCAAATTCAAAATTCAAAGTTTATTCTCTATAAGGATTACAATGCTGAGTTTACAGAAATTTGGTTATTGTGTGGTTTACATGTAGTAAAATAGTGATTACAGAGTGTACCACTAGAACGCTTAGCATGACTAGGCATTTCGGGCAGACTTAGTTTTATTCTTAATTGTAAAATATTACAAATTATGAGGTAAGTTGGTATTATGGCTAAGTGACTAAATACTAGTTTGTGAGTTTAGCAATGTGAATGCTTTTGTTTTGGCACAGTACATAGTTTCAGTATTGGAGTATCACAGGATTCATTATTTTAAGATTGAGATTAATATTTCTGTTTATGGTCAAATGAGTGAGTGTAAGTGTGAACCACCAGGTGGTATTCGTGTAGTTAGTTGACGGGGTGTATCAGGGAGATAAGATGTTTTCTAATGGTAGTTTTGAAGGTGATGAATGTGTCTGCAGTTCTAGAGTTCTCAGGTAGGGTATTCCAGATTTTAGGGCCTTTGACATACATTGAATTTTTGTAAAGGTTTAGTCGGACACGGGGAATGTCGTAGAGATGTTTGTGTCTGGTGTTATGCCTGTGGGTTCTGTCACAACTATCAAGAAAGCGTTTTAGGTCAAGGTTGATATTAGAGTTTAAGGCCCTGTAGATGTAGATTGCACAGTAGTAAGTGTGGATGTACTGAACTGAGAGTAAGTTTAAGTCTATGAAGAGTGGGGGGGGGTGTTGCCAGGGATGGGATTTAGTGATTATTCTTACTGCAGCTTTTTGTTGGGTTATTATTGGCTTTAGGTGTGTTGCTGCAGTTGATCCCCAAGCACAAATAGCATAGGTGAGGTATGGATAAATAAGTGAGTGGTATAGTGTGAGAAGGGCATTTTGCGGCACGTAGTATCGTATCTTGGAGAGGATCCCAACCGTTTTGGATACTTTTTTGGTTATATGCTGGATATGGGTGCTGAAATTCAGGTTGTTGTCAAGGTATAAGCCTAGGAATTTGCCCCCATTATTTCTGGTAATTAGAGTGTTGTCAGTCTTAATGTTAATTTGTGCATCTCCTGCTCTGCTACCAAACATAATATAGTAGGTTTTGTCAGTGTTAAGCGTAAGTTTATTGGCTGTCATCCAAGTCGATATTTTAATCAGCTCCTCATTCACAATGGTGTTGAGGGTGGCAAGATTAGGGTGAGAGATGACATAAGTCATGTCGTCAGCAAAGAGAATGGGTTTCAGGTGTTGGGATACATTACAACATACCTAACTGGCCAGTATCAGTCTGCTATAACTAGAAGGGTTACTTAACTGTGGGTGATTGATACTCCTTATTTCCTCCATTCACCATCTCATTTCGATGTCCTGCTACACCGACAAGGTTCTTATTCCAGCAGGACGAGGTATCCGTCGGTTTGTCCCGGTTTAGAAGTCGGGACTCCATAAAGCCTTCACTATCCTCGGGACAGGAACAACGAGGTAAACATGTGCACACACACTCTGGGAATGGCAGTTCATATCGCTTCAACGAATCCTTAACTTAGTGTTATTATCACTGATTACATTACGATTTACAAGACGGTTTAATGTCTCATAATTATTATACACATTGGAGGCCACTCCATTAAGATTTGAGACCAATGAGTGATGATTAAATCACGGGTAATTTTTCCCGGGACACAGTCCATGGCGACGCGCCAGTCGCCCCCGGTCCTACCATTATTCACTCATTTTACCACCTTATTTACAGCGGTGCCGTCAATCACGTTCCCTCACTCTTCACCAGGGACAGTCACGACACTTCCTATTATGAAATGAGGCCTATATTAATCCTTAGACCGCCGTGAACGCCAATTTCCTGGTTCCATGCTTTCCCAGCCTCCTCACTACATTCAAAACACTCCCGCCTCTCCCCTGCCCCGAGTCGACCTCTCCCCCCGCACATCCGCGCATGCGCAAAGGGAACTCTTGAGTCTATCCTATTGTCAAATACATTTTTGACTCATATCGACACATTAAACACCTATTAGGCACTACAGTTTCGGAAAATTAAAATATTTTCCACAGAATAAATGGGTAAGTTTAATCATCTATTTTTGTAATTCTATGCTTAATCTATAAGTAGTAACTCAGGCAAAATACAGTCCACATAAATAGTTTTACTGGCGTAATGTTTCATAAATATTCAGGAACCATGTGTTCCTAATCCATGGTCCCGGAGTTAACATGCTTTGTAAGATAATCTGTCCAGGATGTGAACAATTTAGTGATAGTTCGAACATACCACAATTCATGCTTCTCAGAAAATTCTGTTTACTATTAAACATTAGCTGGAGAAAAAAATGGCTCTTGCAAACACTACGAGATTCTGCCCCTGCTTATGTAAGCCGCGTTCATCTTACACACGCCCTTCAGATCCTTTGACGCAGGTGAATGAATAAAAATAAATATTCATGAGAAACTGCTAAAATCGTAGAGGTCAAACATTGTCTGGAGGAGTAGGAGGCAACCAGGTTCGATCCAAGGGTAGATTATTATTATAATCAAGGGGGAAGCGCTAAACCCGTAGGATTATACAGCACCTGTGGGGGGATGTGGAAGGTATTCAGATTTAATTCAGGAACCTGAAGGACAGATCCTGTAGAAAATTACATTTATCTGAATGTATCATTATGTACATAACAGTAAATGAACAAAGATAATTATTATTTATCAGTTAGACAAGTAGGAATTTGGGACACCTAGGTCGCAAAAAATGTCCCCCTTCGATACCTACCACTGTCATATCCACAAGTTGCTCTAGACCTATTAATTACAAATGAAAGATACATCACCATGAATTCTGGTAAATATATAAATTTGTGGACTGTATATTAAATTAGTAAAGGTTTATATATATACACATATACATAACAGGAGAATATATCTTAATATCACTCACCAATTTGACTGGAGATTAATGTGTATCATACTCAGAAAACCTCATTCTAACTAAATTAATGAAAATAATACTGGCCAGAATTATAACACAAATCTATATAGCTTATCTGAGGTTCCTGGAGTTGTCTTGTCCAGTCGTCTGATATCTCAAGTTATGCAGGAATGCACATCCAACAATTTCGGCTCCTATTTGAGAGGTGTCAGCCCAATTTTAACCTCTAGAGCAAGAAAATTCTTCCGATTATTAACTACCGTTCTGTTCAATTTAAACAACAATGGCGAGTGACCTCTGCGCAGGCGCAGCTTCTTCCCATTTTCGATAACATATTTTTATTATATATAATATAGGCCATCTATTTACCTATAAATTACCGTATTTCCGGAAAATATACAGTATTTTCCACAGATCCAATTCCCTAGATCAAGAGCCCCTCACCAGCATCAAGGAACCTTCCTTGAGGGGATCCAAGGGTAGAAACGACAGGTCCAATTCCTTGGATCAAGATTTCCCCACCGGCATCAAGGCACCTCCTTGAGGGGCCTTGAAAGGAGAACACAATAATAACATCAGTAGAGAGAATGTAGATGCAGCAGTTTCCGATTATATTTGATTTGCCATTCATATTTTTTTTAACAAAAAAAAATCTGATACACCTTTGTGTGGCTACCCTGATTTATATGAAATTTTTACATAGAACAAGAATCATTGTCATTAACAGGTACAGTGGGCATGCTTGAGGTGTGAACATTATGGAACTATTAAAACCTGAGAAAAAATGGAGGTTGTGCGACGTGTGAAATTGAGTTGGGGTTGTGTTGGAGAGTGGAGATGTTAATGTTGTGGGGCTACAAATTGGGGTTGTAATGTGGGGATTGAGGTTGTGGTCGCGTAGGTCGTGATGAATTTATGGGGGTGTGAGGTTGTTGGGGTGCGGAGGTGCAAGACATTGGGATATTATATCGGTGTGTGGACACAGGTTCCTGCAGACTCATCCTAACCTTGGATAGTCAGTATTTTTTTTTTTACTCAGGAGGACATATAGCGCCTTGGAATGGGAGACATCAAGAGCCTCTCACCGGCATCAAGGCACCCGGGGTTGGTAAGTAGTTTCCAGAATAAGCTTTCCATGACTACATCTGAGGGACACAGAAGAATGTCTTACTTGAAAGAACACATGGTTACACAAATTAGTATGTGATGTATTATGTTAACTGCAGTATTTCTGAAATATATTATTTTTTTTTTTTACATAGGGTTTGACAAGGTTAAGGATCCCTAACTTTATTGACAAGCTATTTACACGCTAAGGATTCCTAACTTTATTGGCAAGCTAAGAGCTGTTACCTACATCAGCTCATTTGAAAGCATTTTTATTGTTATGAGACATACAAGTAGGGAACAGGATGAAGTTGGAGCCATCTGTGGGCCAGCATTTTCATTTGATCAACTGACTTTATCTCGTTGACATCATTATGCTGTACGAATGTGTTCCATACTCGAGTCATCCTGGGTATATAGGATCTCAGATGGAGTGATGTTCTGGAGCAGGGTACAGCCAGAGTGAAGTTGCTGCTTTCTGCCCGTCTTGTGGCATAAAAGCTTGTTTCACGCTGTCCTCGAAGTGGATCCAAGTGTGGTACCTTGACAATATTGGCCTTGTACATAACAGTAAGGCCACCCACATCCCTCCTATGTTGAAGGCTCTGCTGAAATGACAGATCTATCCAGAATGGGTCCAGGCGAGAGATGAGACGTCTTGCTCTGTTCTCTACTCTGTCAAGCAGTCGCAGATGAGAGGGGGGCAGGCAAACCAAGAAAGTGGAGCATACTCAAGGTGCGAGCGTATTTGTGCCTCGTACAGAATCTTGCAACCCATACTGTCTTTTTCCACCACTGTAAAGCTTTAAAATTGTTTGTATATATACATCTCTACATATATACTTACATGCATCACTGCATAATCATTATGTGCAAATCCCATGCTTGACATATGCAGTACTTTAAAATAAGTAAACTGTACCCGATTTTAAGTATACTACATCTAAACAGCTGATAATTATATATTTGTGTTCACATAATTTTGTGCCTTTATTTCAGTCTGGGGAAAGCTGTAAACCCGTAAGGATCATATAGGGAATGGGAGACATTCAAGTTCGATCTATGAAAGGAAAGGATGAATCCAGTCCCTCGGATCAAGAGCCAACACCTCCGTTGAGGGGTGTGCACACATGTGATGTGCGGAAAAATCTTCGTTTATTAATAGTAAATTTACGAGGAAAAAAAACTGGCAGGAAATGGCAGAAATCGTACACCAAATCCAGTCATTCTTGGAGTGGAACCACAGTCGATGGCCTCCACTCCAAACCAACAGATACAGATACTAATGCCGGAAAAAAAAATCCCCCCCCCAGTACCAACAATACCACCAGTCCGATAACATTCTTCTTTGCAAATATACAGGGTCTAAAGCCAGCAACAAACAACAAAATACCTTTCATCCATGGACTGCTTGCAGAGGCAAAGGCAATGTTCGTGGCTTTCACTAAGACCCACATAAAGGATCACTTGGACAACGAAATATGGATCCCAGGTTACAACCTATACAGATGTGACAGAGTGAACAGGCAAAAGGGGGGGGGGGGTTGGCCTGTACATTGCAGAGTCACTTGTTTGCACAGAACTGCTTAATGCCTCAAATGATGTAGTGGAAGTTTTAGCAGTAAAGGTCGAGAACCAAAACCTAATCCTTGTGGTAGTCTACAAGCCTCCGGATGCAACATCCCAGCAATTCCAGGAACAGCTGTTAAAAATTGACCACTGTCTGGAAAATCTTCCAGCTCCTGCACCCAACATCTTGCTCCTGGGGGATTTCAACTTAAGGCACCTAAAATGGAGGAATATAGCAAATAATATTGTTGCAGAAATAACACCAGGAGGCAGCTCTGATGAAAACTCACACTCACACGAGCTTTTAATCTCTGCACAAAATTCAATTTAAACCAGCAAATAATAGAGCCTACTAGACTGGAGAATACACTAGACCTCATCTTCACTAACAATGATGATCTGATAAGAAATGTCACCATATCAAAAACAATATACTCAGATCACAACATAATTGAGGTTCAGACATGTATGCGTGGAGCCCCTGACCGACATAATGAGACTAGTCACGAGGGAGCATTCACCAAATTCAACTTCAATAACAAAAACATAAAGTGGGACCAAGTAAACCAAGTCCTAACCGATATAAGCTGGGAAGATATACTAAGCAACACAGACCCCAACTTATGCCTAGAACAGATTAACTCGGTGGCACTCGATGTATGCACAAGGCTTATTCCTCTAAGAAAAAGGAGGAGTAGATGTAAAATAGAAAGAGACAGGCGCTCCCTTTACAGGCGACGGAAAAGAATAACAGAGCGGCTAAAAGAGGTCAATATATCTGAAATGCGTAGGGAGACACTGGTCAGAGAAATAGCAAGCATCGAACTTAAGCTAAAAGAATCCTTTAGGAGTCAGGAATCGCGGGAAGAAC